GTACAGTAGTGAGTTTGCGTAATGTTGAATAAGAGCGTACCACTGGACGTGCATATCGCACAGCACGCGCTGCGACTCGTCCGCTGACTGTGCCGTCTTGCCGCGAGACGGGCCTTTTGTCAGGTACCCGAAGTTCAACACGCTAGTTTAATTCTGATTAAGACAGTTTTTTGAGAAAAGTTTTCATTTCGGATAAGAGATTTGCTTGTTTTCATTGAACAATTTCAAGTCTGATTGCTGATATAGATCTTTATTAGTCAGTAAGTTGTTTGGTTTCGATGGATTGTTTGAGCCGCATGACTTCAAACGCGTGCTGCATCTGCCTCAAATTCTTACAGAAATGTACGCTGTATCCAGCCGAAATAGAAAATTCGAAGGAATTGCGAAAAGCCTAACTTTGTTAATCTCCCTGAATGCGCCAAGCTTTCGACTTAATATCACCCAGCGTCACTCATTTGAATGGGTATTTGAACCATCCATTGTCCTGTGTAGGCTTATAGAAAACGTTGTGCAAGTCGGTCTCCGTTCTTTACCCAAGTTTGGTATCATCGTCCGACTGGGGCGAATACAAGCACGGCAAGCATTCTATTCATATGTGGTAGCGCGTCTTGCGTTTCAACATTTTTAAATTTAAACAATATTTCAGCCCTTTCCACGTGTAATTTGATTACATTACAAGTAATTTTTTAGATAACTTATCGAAGCTCTCTCCTGATTTGATATACAGAGTAGCATATAGTTTCGGAAATGAAAACAATAGTCAACTAGACTTACTGCTTGTAGAACTGTTCCAGTGAGTTTCGCATTCCTTTTTTTTAATTCTGGGAAAGTATAAATTCCCCTTTTTAGATTGTTGAAATCGGAGACGGAAAAGTACGAGCTGTGCTATGAGCTATTAACGTGGCGCACATCTCCGTTTTTAGCCGAGATCCTTTTGCATCAGTTGGAATCTCTAGTTAATGCGGATTTTCAAGAACAGTAGTAGGTTTGCTTAAAACTCTGAGTTGATTTAACTGTAATAAACATTTTCGTCTTCTTCATAAGTTAGTATTTAAGTCCTGATCTTTGTGATCGTCTTTGTAATGAACTACCGAAGAAATTGGAGCGACGCCTTTGTGAGCGGTTGATGAGCGAAGATGAAGAATTGGAGTTTGCCATTACCGAGGCAGCTTCCATTTTAGCCTTCTTCGATGGCATCCCGTTGAAGGTTTCGTACAGGTAAAGGCCTAATGTCAACCTTCATAATCAAAGCTATGAGGGCGTAAATTTTATGATCAAAAAACTGAACCTACCCCCTGTGCGTCCGCTTCAATCAGGGGTATAGGGGGCATTTTGAAAGGCGTCTAGTTCCAATTTCAGAAAGCACTTTAATGAAAAACGTTTTGGTGGGTCGTATACGTTGCAAAAACTCGAACTTTGAGTAAACTTAGAGTTCCTGTTTTGGTCATCTGCTCACTATAATCACTGCTACCCTTTCACCTTTCGGTCCTTTTCAACCCGTCACTTTTCCAATAATCATGTGCTCTAAATTAGGTTTCTCATGCCTTTGAATCATCTCGTCGAGGAAGCCTTTCTGTGGTATGGACGCCGATTCAGCACCTATAGGAAACCCAGACGAGGCATAGAAGGCTATATTATAATCAATCTGCTTCAAGATTCGATCGACTTATTGATGATGTGCTCAGTAAAATACCGTTCGATGAGGCAACCGCTTCATTCCTCAACTTGGCATGCGAGGGGATACATCCGTTTTCAGTGCCGAACTCTGTAGGTTGTTACTTTTCTATGTCAGCTATTAACGCTGAAGCCTCTTCACCCTGATCAGGGGATTCACCGAAACCAACGGTACTGATCCCGAATGTCTATGACCAAAGTTATCTGCGACTACGATTAGCTGAAGGAATCAACGAGTACGTGAGGTAGAGAACGACGGTAAGTATTAACGACCTTTCCATAATCGAGATGTACTAGTGACATGAAAAACAGATAGGTAGAAGTTACTCGTTATGATGGCATCTGAATGGGAAGGTTTTTCTTACTTTCAAGTAGCTCCAAATAAGTCAAATTGTGTATACTTAAGGTACTTTTGAACCCTTTTTGAACGACATATTCCATTAGTATGTCCAGATAGCCTTTTTATAGGATTCGGAAGATGGTACTCCTGCCTTCAAACAAACCCTTCAATATTGATTTGAGGGTACCATTATTAACTCTTTTTTTGCTTTCAATGGATACCAATCACAACTAACAGTGTGCCAGTGTTTGGCCGAACTATAATACATTGTCTTCCTCTGTGGACAGCAGTTGCGCCACAAAATCCTGCTCTGTGCATTTGTTAGGCAGTAATTGCGACCATCGCCTGATTCGCTAGTTGTATAATTATGGACACGAACCGTTACTACTTTTTTCGAGCAATACATTCCTTCCCGTGCATTCACCGGTTCTCAGAACATTGTTTTGCCCCTAGCTACTCTTTGCGACATCTCAACGGCCCATCGTGGGCATTTAAACTAAGAATCGCTCGAATTGCTGGCGAATCACGTTACGGTCGCAAGACTGGCTTACGCCTTACTTTACCATAGAAAGATTGATATTATTCAGTATCAGTTTCAGACTGATTCACGGTTAGCAAATATACATTCGCTTCTATATTTGCGACCGCCTTATCACCTCCGGCGGCCCATTTTATAATAATACACGGCAAGATTTTTCACTTGCTACGCTCCATACATAACGCTCTTAAATTTTGAGGAGTGGCAGTACAGTCAAACCACTTACGAAAGCTCTTGGTTTCTTATGCAAGCTCAGCGAGGAAATGCCAGGATATACATCCCTCCTATCTCAACGTCTGCTCGGTTGGTTACAGGTTGCTTATCATCTAACTCTGGTCTTTTAAATGTCTTTATTGAGGCATCGATATTGTTCTGAGTCATTGCTTTCCAGGAAATGTTCGTTTCGCTACTATGGTTCATTGACGATTTTGATTCAGAAGCTAATCGAATAGAAGTTATGAAAATATCACAAAATATCATGTCGGGTATTCCTGTGGAATTTCGGGCTCTTCTTCTGAAGAACATAATTATGAATATTGTCAGTAGGGTGAGTGAAATCTTCTTACAATCTCTACTAGAAAACTTAGTAGTATGCAGAAATGAGCATTTTTGAGCGATACACCAAAAGTTTTTTAGGGATCGCTGTGTTTGAAGTACGAGCCGAGCTTTCTCTCATGGTTGTTGGACCAATTCGAAAAGAATTTGAACGAGAAAGCATTTTCAAATGAAATAGGAAGTGTTCTTGGTGTTTTGGAGGACGTCACATACAGTGGAACTCATGGAACACTGAGCTTCTACTCATCGCTCTTGCGGCTCATGCGTACTTTTGCTCATGACTGGTTAGTGCCTCATTATTCTCTGCGCCTGCCGTGGGTGCAGCTGCCATGTCGGCAACTGCACTGCTCGGGCCATGAAACGCGTCCGTTAGGGCGCTTTTGTAGTTGGTCACCCGTTCGTATTGGTCGCAGCATCAGGTACGTCCTTAATGCTGTGCGATGTTAATTTAATGTTGTAATCGTTACGATCGGCAACAGTCTATGAAAGCGCCCTTAGACGACAGGGGCTTGAACTTGATCCTTGCACGCCCCATATTTCGATACCACATCTGCGTCATAATGCTCATCTACTGTGGTCATTCACCTCGAAGTCTTTTCCCCTCTGCTCCCATTATCTCGCTGTCTGCTCTTTCGATTCCTTCACAACGTAGGAAAAGGAGGCCTGTTTGGCGGTTTCTTTTTAATTTTTTCTTAACTATCGGTCATCTTCACACCCCATCTTCATTATCGACCGCATTTACCACACCAATTTAGTCTGGGGATGTCTTTGAAACCTTTTCACGATCACTATTTCACTCGAGTATGAATGCAGAGCGCGAAATAGAATACTAGTAAACAAAAATGAGGGGAAACTGCTGAAAATGCTAGAATTAGGGGCCTCATTTCTTGAGGTGGCGGCGATAGGCGAAAGAGCGAACCGGAAGAGAAGACATGGAAACCCACTGCATAAGCCGTGGCATTGCAACAACAGGAGCTTCACCATCACCTTTTACCGTTGTCAGGTTGATCCGCCTGGCTGCATCCTGTAATGTGCCTTTTATTAGCCTAACTTCGTATGACGTGAAACGTGTACTTGTGCGAAGTGGAGCGAAATCGTCATCGGATCTTCATTGGAATTATCGTGATGATTCGCGTTCATCACCAGTTTTTGACGCCCTGTTTGTCTGTTAAGCAATGAGATGCTGCCCTTTCTCGTTGATCTATACCTTTAGAACAGAAAAACTTCAGACGCTAAGCAATTTCCTTTCGAGATGAGCCATGCATTATTTCTCTGTTCAAAATTGTAAACGTGCATGCGTGGGGCCTACAACAATGACACCCAATAGCGGTGGGGCTCTGAGGAGGAGGAGCCACGTCGTGGAAGACTTTCTAACCTGACGGTTTGGTTTGTATTCACAACAAACTCCCGGAGACGTGGAGGCTTGTTTGTTCTGGTACATTGAGCCGTGGTTTGAAGCCTCTGCAAACCGGCGCACCTGTACTTCCATTTGCCCACTACGTTGGCCAGTCCTCCGCGCTCATGTGGTCAGCTATCTTTTCAGAATCGCAGCGCTATAATTTCACTATCAAATTACGGTTTTCTTAGAGAGAATTTTTCCCTCAATACAGTTGCTCTGTTTAGCACTAATCTCATTGCTGGCGGTGGCACGTGAGAGGCTGGTACGACGACTTCACGCTCATCTGAAAAAATGCCTTCGATATGATCCTGCGAATGGAACAACGGCAAACACTGACGATGAAGCTGTTATGCTCATGAAGCGTCTTTGTTTTTCAACCAGGATCGAATGAGGAGCTCCAGGGCTGCGTCGCAGCTGACAATCTGTCGTGCAAAGATGTGACACACACACACACAACGACACTATGACGGACATTGATGAAGGCCAACTTCGCGGCTAGTCTCGCTATAAGGGCAATCAGCCCCGGTATTTTTTTCGTTTCGCTTGCTTCCAGTGTTTTGTGCGTTCCATGCTTTGTTTTCTGATAGGGTGCCCTAAGCTCTTGTTGAATTGTATGATGTTGGTCATTAGGAAAATTTTCATTCTTGTTCGCGGGTCCGATTGAAAAGTATCAAAAGTCTATCACTGCTCTATCAAGTGTATGAGGGAATCCATGCCGCCGCAATAGTCATCTGCTTCATGCGCTTGGCGTATCTGGCACTATATCGGAGACAAGTATTGTAAATATTTGTCACCTGGGCGGTCGATTTTAGCGCGGATCAATTCAAGGTTCGACTTGCAGATGTCGCTAAATGTTCCAGATTGTCGCCCGCTATTTTTCGTTTCTAAAATGTCTCAACTCCGAAATCATACCCTCACCACCAACATATCATAGGCCATGTCCACCACTCGAACTGGCTCCACGCAAAAGCAGTGGTTACCGTGAGTAAGATATCGCTAAGCCGCTATGGCTCCGCTGGCAAAAAATGCTACGCCCTCGGTCTTTCAGGGATGTATCCTCTTTTGAAACAAGGCAGATTTCTACCTTTTTTAACATCCAAATGTATCGTATCGTCTGCTTTTGGGTCCCGTCTGAGTAATATAAGGTTCGAAAAAGGGAAACAATGCAGAAAACTGGCTGAAATAGGCTAATAGCGAGTTCATGTACTGTTAAAAATGGAAAAAACCTTACGCCATGCCACTTGGCATAAAATCAAAGCTGCCGTTTAAATTCTGAACCATCTCTTCTATCGCCCCCAGCGTCCCACGCACCACTTCTGTGAACTGGACTGGATAGACATTACGTAGTCCCTTTAAGGCATTAATGTTGTAATATTGTAGTTGTTACTTGCTTCGGCTGCGCTTTACTGGTTTTTCTGAAATGGGTTAATTCATCTTTCATGTCTGGATTAGGTACAGGTTGCACATTTTCTAGCCATTCGATTCTGTTGTATTTCAAAGGTCGCACTGGTGTCAATAAATGAATTCAAATCAATTTTCATTTGTTTCTGGTGTGGGTATTTTCGCCTTAAATTACTGTAGTCGTGAATCACAGCCACATCGGGTGTGCCGGTGAAGACGCGTGCGGTCGCGCTGCGGTCTAAAAAAGTCCGATCTGTGGCTTGTTGTGTGCTGTGTAGATTAAATTGCAAACCGGTGAAGGGTAAATAGGATTATACTACAGGAAGTTAGGGAAAATGCCTTTTTTTCTCGTTTTCCTTTAAGATACTATAACAAAGCTATACTTGTGAGAAGTTTGCATGCATGTTGGGGCATGGGGGCACTGGTCATTTCGCGAACCCGCAAGAGGTTACAAGGCTTTTGTCAACCAGGGGCTAAGTGTGTAGAAGGAAAAGCAGACGTTCTTCGTGGTAGTGGTACTAAGCCTTTCAAAGGATTAAAAGAAAGCGGAGATTCTGTAATAGTGCGCTTGTGTGAGAGCTCCCAGACAGCACACACAAAACGCGCCGGATTGCCATAGCCTCCTCACGGTTCAGTTCCGAGCTCGCGAGCCGCCTTAGGCGTCCCAATAAGTGTGGTGTGTACAGAAATAATTGTGAAGTTCCCTTGATGAGAAGTGGTTCATTGCGGTTCGGTCCCTTTGAGGTTTCTGGTTCTCCCAACAAGCTTGTGAGTGCTGCGATGTGATGGATGAGACGGAAAAAGTGCGACTTTGTCGTTTGGTGAACGATGGCAAGTTTAAGGAGGCGCTTTTGTTCTTCCAGACTTCCTCTCAGGACCATCCGGTGACTTTATATTCAAGGTGATTTGGCATTCCTGTAACGCTAGTCGTAATATTCGCTACATATTGTTCAGAATCCGTTCGGAAACTCGCCATCGATGCGATTTTTGATGCGGTGACCAAGTTTCGTGACAATAACGATGCTGACTTGAGAGCTCTGGTATTGCTGCTGTTCGAGTGAGTAGGGTTTTGGAGAGTATTTGAAGATGAGATTCAATTTTGTTTGAATCTAAATATAAGTCATTTGGTAGGGCGTCTTTTCTTGTAAGTTAGCAAGTCCAGTGCCAGGATGCGCAGTCACGTCTTGAAATGGATGCTTATCTTAGGGAACATTTAGGTCTATACTCTTCGGAGAACTAGAAGCGCGTCGAGTGCAGACTACACCACTCACAAGTGACGGCGGCCTCCAGAAAATTGTGAAGCTTATCTGTCAATGAAATGACAACCGATTGCAGTTACATTCAGTCAGTTGTCACTAACTATCTACCACTACGAATGACTAATTAGCAGATTCACTTTGAGACCGTCGTCACTTCTTGTGTGTGGTCTGCACTCGAAGCGCTTCTGTTTCTGAAACATGAGGGTCCATTTCATCGTGGCCATTGACTTGTCCCTTCGTTCCGCTAACGGTTCCATTTGCGTCAAGTGAACATATCCGGTATTGCTGTGCCCTGGGCTCATTTTCATTTCCAAAAGCATCATGCTACTTAACAATAAGCTCATGGTAAATGGTAAGCAGATACGTGACAACATTCTGCTCGAATTGACTCTTGGGTGCTTGCTCGCAGACAGCCATCTGTTGATAAGTGGTGCGCCATCTGCCGCTCGTTCCAATATGAAAAGCGCATCTTTTTACGGTATACTAGGGTCATACTCATAGTGAACTATTGATTACTTCTAGATAGTAAGAAGTCTTCCAGGCCGAAATCGATTTATTTTTAGAATCGACTCATAGACTTTTTTGAGCGCCCCTCTTTCTAGCTCCGGCTCTGATGTATCCATATCTAGTAGTAGTCCTGGCTAAATCAAAAATGTCATCTTCAAAAGATATTTCCCTGATCACATCCATCCACCAATTCTTCCCCTAGATAATACTGGTGTAGTGACAAGTGTTCCGTTCGAGGGTTACATCCTGGCTCTACGTCTGGCCAAAACCATCAGGCCTTCCATATCTCCAAGATCAGTTCGATTCATACAGACTCGTGCACCAGATTATTTCCGCAATCATTGTATACCGCCACATGCCGTTCGAATACCACTTCTATTGTGAGTGGAAGTAAAATGCGTGGCGCATTCTGAAAGGAACTTGTCAACGCCGAGCGCTTTATCTTTTGTGTAATTATGGAATGAACGATTAGACAGAGGATAAAACGCTTCTGAATGATTCTGGATTTATTAATATGGAATAATTTATTTTCAGTGCGATCCACCCGGAGCTGTTGAAGTTTCGTATCTGTTTCAATTTTATCATTGCTCGATCGTCTCCTCACCTAAACGATGTGCTTATCGGCCAGCTCGTGTTTATTGACAGTAGCTTTAAGAGAATTGCAGTAAGTTCTTCATTTCTTGAAACGTGTGATGTCTATATGGACCAATTGTTGCAGCCCTGCTGAATGGCAAGAATTTCGAGATGTTCTACCAGTGAAAACTCGCAGAAAATCTGCCGTCCAGTAAAGATGCGAATTTGCTGCATCCTGTGTTGGAAATTGCTCATGTTCTGTTTTCTTTCAGTGAGATACCTTTTGTGATACCTGAGAGGTACCAGTTCGCCATGAATTTCCGTTAGCGTGTTTAAATTACGACTGAATTGTTAAGAATGTCTGAGGTTTTTGTTCAAGCTGTTCACAGCACCAATCCAGAACTGCCTGCTGCTTTCCCTCTTCTGGTTTTGTTTTCCAGAAGTCACCCGTTCTCACCGAAACTACGTGAGTTTTCTGCAAAATTCCTGGTTCCATTTACCGCTAGCCACTGGCCTGTCTTTGGACTGTCTATATCCACTTCTTCCCTGTTTCTGAACTGCACTGGAATCTTGAGGACTTAAGTGAACCCACGCCTACTTAAGTATTTGTTACGCCCATTATGGTGGTCCCTCCGTTCATCCGGCCAATCACACATTTGCGAAGACATCACTCCCTCACGATTTCTCCTCATACTCCTACTCCTTTCTCTTTCATACTCCTCGACCGTCAATTAACCTGGGCACGTCCATGAAACCGATGCCACACAATTGCAACCGCTCCTGCTCCGAGCCTTCTACCCACAGTTGATCTAATAACTTTACGAGAGGGTCAGCCCAACACCGGTTGAGAGACTGCCTGTGCGCCTTGTTTTCCCCCTTGAGTACCAGTCAGTCGCCCTTTGGCGCTGTCATCGATGAGTCCAATCATCCCTCCTTGCTTTACCCTCTATACATCAGATCCGCGGCGCAGGACTATTTTGTCTTTGAAGGACATTCATGATGAGATAGGTAAGCGCAAAGCACCCCACCGCCTCCGTTAACCTGGCTGAAAGCCCCCCCCCCTCCCCTGCCGTATGTTTAGCCGTCTGTGCGGCCACCCTTAAAATACATTTTTCCAGGTTCATAGAATTCTTATGATCGGGCTATGAATTTTTAGTAACGCTAATCACTTATAGAACGCTCTGCCCTTCATTGGTGAGATTCAACTTACCATTAGTTTGTGTGTTTTTCACTTCCTGGCCCACGCCTCACTCACTCTGAGCTTGACTGAGCCTCCTAAGGTGACACTTTAGTTTATGACGAAATCTCGTGGCAAACAGGTAGACGAACCGATAAGGTCTAGTGATAAATATTATTAACACTGATAAAATATATGCGGCTGGAGTTCGCGACCTTTGTTTCCTATATCGTGATTAGGGGCGGAAGTGGTGCAGTGACAAGTGGCGCGCTCACCACGCGAGCGGTCCGGGATCAAATCCTGGGTCGTGAGTCGCCCGGGCCAACCAAGCCTTCCATCCCTCCGGGGTCGGTTAATTGGTACCAGACTTGTCTGGGAGGATAAAAAACACTGACTTGAACATCGGCTGGCCCCCGCAAGTCATTGTATAGGCCACTATTCTGCATTTCAAATCCACTTTGCGAATGTACAAATGTAAGTCCGATGATGTCGTGGCCGCACCCTAAACGGGTTATTGATCAATGGCAAAATGCTTTATCCTTGTTATCTGCTTACTGTGATTTATGCGTGAACTTTTTCCTGAGTCCATTTTGTCGGTGCTGGACAGGTCCGACATTGTGTGTAAATTTGCAAAAGAGTGCCCGTATCGTCAATTTGGGCTTGCTCTCTCCTTGTTGAGAGGTCACTCGTTCTACTGTCTGCTAAGTTAACCGTATTGCGCTTATCTATTTCTAGTGTGCTGTTTTTTGACGTCACGACCCTTCACCGTTCGCAATATGGCATTCGTTGCATCTTGCCGAAAGTATTTGTAAAGTAGCCCAAAGCCAGCAAAATCCGCTAATCTTGACTATGGGGAGAACTGCCTCCCTTAATGGTTGCTGAACGAAGAACTCTAGCATGTTTGTATCGATAAAACATAGTGCTGCCAATGCCGTCATAATTCCAAATGCGGAAGTCCAAATTTCCTGTGAGCGCATGGTCAACAATCAATGATTTTCATAATTGCTTTTAGTTGACTGTTACGTATCGCGCTACCAGTGCTCAAATTCCACAGTTATCATCGCATTTTTTTTTGGCACTACGATTGGTGGATGGCTTGGCGACTTACCTCCACGAAAACGAGTACAAGTCTGTGTATTCAATAATTTTTCTATTCCTTCAGTGGTAACCTACACTTCTTTTAATTGGCCCCATGATATGGACTCAGCGGAAACTTTTTTGCTAAGAATATCAATGTACGAATCAATAGCCAATCTTTTACTAATTACTGAATATTTTCGTGTTACTCACTGTAAACGAACATAATGTCCAGAAGTTAACCCCCTCTGCGTAGCTCACTTTCAAGTATTTTTCCACTGATTAGTTAACATGGCAGGGAATTTATTATTCACGCAAGACATATCGAGGATGCTACATGTCGTTCTATGCACAATGGGAAAGGCAGAAAAAGAGTCACTCTCAGCTACATTTAAAACAGGTTAATTATAAAAAAGCTTAGTTGGGATGAAGTAATATCCCGCTAGCGTTACTTGTAGCCCATTTTTGCCGGTGAGCAGAACCGGGCGGGTCGAGCCCCGTCTGAGGCAAAAAATTTGTTCATAACCCATCATTCTCGTGGAGTTAATTACACTTTGCTGAATTGAAACTAAATAATCCTAACTGGAAACTGAAGAATACATCCCAGTCGATCAAAAGAACTGCATGTGTGTCTTCCATTCGACGACATCAGAAAATTTTCCCACGGAAACTCAGTGCATGGCTCAACTTCAACTAGGTCCTTTCTGATGTAGATCAATGCCTTGTGAAATGCTGATAAAGCCGTTTATCGTCAAAGCTACTGCTCTTTAGCCATATATCCACCAGTTACCGAGATCGCAGCTTCAGACAAGAGCGATTACTGTAGACCTCTTTATGCTCGACAGTGATGGGGATGACGTCATAATCTGAGGGATGAGTGCAGTGAAGGAGGTCCTGCTTCTACATATGAGAGGACATCTAAGGAATATTTCGCCGTAAAACTTGCATCACCGGCGGTCTGTGCGACGAAAAGTTTTATGCCTGTGCGGCAATTGGCCGAATGGAAATTTTTGGCCCCCCTCCCGCCTCTTTGTAGAATTATGACCCCCCGCATCGAAAATCCTCGCAAAGCTGCAGACGGCTATTGTGATAAATGTAGCATTTTCGAACATGGAAATTATCAAACTGTCGATCGTCTTCTACGGTTTCCTTTAGCCCATGTGAGTTTATAATGACTTGCACATTCATGTATGAAAAAACATATTGTGAAACTCTTAATTAGGACAGCTATAGACGTTCATTTCTGCGAAACTGAGAAGTTGGAGTCAAGCCGAAAATGCGATTTATGCTGTGTAGGTTCTGTTTGTCTGGGAATGAGACAAACTTCTTCGGCGTAGTCTTCTTCCCCCATAAAAACCTTTGCGTAGTCTTCTTCCTATAAAAAGGCACTACAACTTTAAAATCGCTTTTCATGCAGGAAGTTTATTTTTTCCGAAAATTCTCATATTCGTTCAGAAATTGATATTGCGATTATTACGATTCGTGGAAGATTTTGATCAACGATCATTTCCGTGTACCGATCATGGATAAGTGCCAAGAAATGATACAATTATTCCCAAGCCAGCAAAGATGTCTATTGTGCAAGCATATTATCTCAGGAATTCTTAATTCTGTAAGTGATTTTTAATGCGAAATGGTTGCAGTACACTTTGTGATTGTTTTCGTAATCGGCTAGAGTTTGATTCGATCACCGATTTTCTCGTCTACAATCAATAGCCATGGTTTAAGGTCGAAAAGATAAAAGAAGGTGAAATAGATAGCGGCGAGTCAGTCGAAAAATCAAATTTATTACGGTGAATGTGGAGAAAAGGTAGACAGCTGGAGGCAGCGTCCGTCCTTCGGACCGATCCAGGCGGGCGGTCATAATTGAGGCTGGAGAAGGTGAAAGGTCGAAAAAGGGTTCATCACCAAAAGTACAAGGTAGTCGCGGTCGCGGGAGAAGGAGCCGTTTTGACAGCTTGGCTGCCAAATTTTCGAAAAGCTTGCAAGAGAGTTACAGGAAATAGTTTAAAATAGAACTTCACGCCTCTCGAGAGAAATATTGACCTTCCTCCTCCCGCGCCTCGCACGGTGTTATTGCTGAAGGAAAATTTGAGGCGGAGTAGGAGTGTGTTGACTGATTTCAGATCAAATGCTATAAAAAAGCCATGGTTGTTTCAGGGAGTCTTATTCGTGATGACCATGACCCCCTTCAAGTAAGGTTGTAGAGGAGTCGTTAGAAATCCCTAAAAGGGAAGGTCCCCTGAAAGATCCCCTGAAAGGGGTAGTAGATTTTCGCAATTGGCTGTACACGACGGTTGATCCCTGTTGGAGGCACGAGTCTGCGTCAGGGGTGCGCGGTGTTTCTTGGAAAACCTTGTGGTTTGGTTCTGGGACGGCTTCAAAGTGGATAGAGGGTAGCTAGGGAGTGGGAGGTTCAATGGTAATGATAGACAGGATTTGCTTCGAAGTGTGTGAAATAAAATCCAGTATTTGAAGTGTGGTTTCGAGACAGTTCGAAAAGAGGCAGGAAAGTGGGTGAAATTCAGCGAAGGGGCGTGAGGTCAAATAAGACTCACGGTTTTGGGTAGTTGAATTCCCATTAGAGGCGTAGTTACCACCGAAGTGGGCGGAATTACAGTCAGGAGTTACACCCTTTCCCACTCTTTACCACTGGGGTCAATTGTGATGTACGCAGTACTTGTGGGGTCAGTTGGTTGAAGGATATTTCACGATAAGGTCGCAGGTCGAAAAAATGGGAAATTTGCCTAATGGAAAGGCAGACGGTTCTCCTAAGGGTGTGGGATGATACGCTTTCGCAGTCTCCAACAGCCGCAGCGCTCGCGACGCTACACGCCGTACGACTGACCACTTCCTCGCCGTCGAACCATCACTGCTGTATTAACTGTTTAGCAGAAAGG